CTTTCTTCCCCTCCTCCTTCTCCACCAGCTTTCTCCCCCTCCTCCGTCTCCAACACCTTTCTCGCCCTCCTCCTCCTTTCGCCTCCCTTCTCCACAGCTTCTCCCTTCCTTCTCACCACCTTTCTCTTCTCCCCCTCCTCCTTCTCCACAGCTTCTCCCCTCCTCCCTTCCTCCAACACCTTCTCCTTACTCCCCTCCTTCCTTCGTCCACAAGGGGCTTCTCCCTTCCTTCTCCACCACCTCTCCTCTCCCCTCTCCTTTCTCCACCAAGCTTCTCCCTTTCTGTCTCCACCACCTCTCTTCTCCCCCTCCTCCTTCTCCACCAGCCTTCTCCCCCTCCTCCTTCTCAACACCTTCTCCCTTCTCCCCTCCTCCTTCTTCCACCAGCTTCTCCCTCCTTCTCCACCACCTGCTCTTCTCGCCCCTCCTCCTTCTCACCAGCTTCTCCCTTCCTTCATCCACGACCTCTCTTCTCCCCCTCCTCCATTCTCACCAGGCTTCTCCCCCTCCTCCTTCTCCAACACCTTCTCCCTTCCCCTCCTCCTTCTTCCACAGCTTCTCCCTTCCTTCCCACACCTCTCTTCGCTCCCTCCGTCCTTCTCCAGCCAGCCTTCTCCCTTCCTTCTCCACCACCTCTCTTCTCCCCCTTCCCTTCTCCACCAGCTTCTCCCCCTCTCCTTCTCCAACTACCTTCTTCCCTTCTTCCCCTCCTCCTCTCCACCAGCTTCTCGCCTTCCTCCTCACCACCTTCTTCCTTCTCCCCTTCCTCCTTTCTCCACCACTTTTCTTCTGCCGTTTCTCCCCCTTCTCCTTCCTCTCGTCCACCACTTTCTCCCTTCCTACCTTCCCACCAGCTGTCCCGTTCTCTCCACAGCTTCCTCCTCCCCTCTCCTTCTCTCACCAGCTCTCCCTTCCCCTTCTCCACCACCTTCTTTCCTTCTCCCCTATTCTCTTTTTTCCACAGCTTCTCCTTTCCTCCTGTCTCCACCACCTTCTCCCTTCCTCCTTCTCACGCAGCTTCTCCCTCCTCCTTTCATCCACAGCTTCTCTCTTTCCTCATTCCTAGCCATATTGAGTCGCCATACGGGGCGCCGGGCGTATAGCCATTATTGATCTTTATCCCACGGCCGCGTGCCTGGTCATACTGTATAGTCTCGGCCAGTGGTGTAGGTGTCAGACATGTGTACAGTGCACAGGCACTTCATTGGGACCGCTCTCAAAACACATAATGCGAATTAAACACTAAATTTATAGATCTACTATCAAAGTATTAATGCTTTCTCAGCTCTATTTTCGCCATTATTGTCGATAACTGTGCTTGTAAATGCCGTTTAAGATGCCCTCATATGCAACACACAAGTAGCTGAAAGCTACACCGCACGTACGCCCTGTGCACAAACAACACTGCCACTGGCTACTACATGTATCAACAAGAAGATTGCACAACTCTTGCACGATGGATTTCGACAAAAAAGAATGGTTTCTCACCTTTCCGCTATTCTTGGGCGAACCTGAATGAAAGACAGCGTCGGGCTTACCTACACTGACGAATTCGAGCAATTTACAGCAGAACAGTAGCTGAGCTGGACAGCATGCACAGACCACAAGTTTCACGAGTAGCAGCATACACAACATCCCGGCGAACTTTCGCTGTGAACTTGCCTTCCAATAATGCGCGCGTTGTGGCGCACCCATGGACCTACTACGCTATTGATTGGAGATGGTCTATCTTAGTGCTTACGGCCACTCTAGAATCTTTGATGGTGCCTAAACTCGCCGCCGCACGAACCACAACACTCACCGCTTTTCAGATCGCGTACTAACTCCGGTCTGTTCCCTGCAGGTGACGCCACTTTCAAATATCGTTGGAATCGCGGAAGAACTGCTGAACAAGCTACACCCGCCATTTTTTGACAAATCGGCCGCCAGAATCGCTCAATCACAGAAATTTCCTCAAATATCCATTGCGAACTCCATCCTTGCGATGCCTACTATTGAGAAGCCGCGATGCGGCCGGCCGCGCTGTCATTGGCCTGTTAAGTGTGTAATGTGCAGGACAGGCTGCCGCAACTACGCACTGACTGCTGCGCCAATCAGCGCAGCGGCCCCTGCTGCCTTCTTCAATAGTGCATTCGAAGGATGGATTCGCGCATGGATATTGAAGGGCGAATTTCTTGCGATTCTGAGCGCCATTCTGGCCGGTGGCTGATGTCAAAAATTGGGGAGCCGGGTGTAGCTTGTTCAGCAGTCGTCTCCGATCCAACGCATAGTTTGGAAGGTGTGTGGCGGCAACCTGCAGGAACACCGGAGTTGTAACTGATTGAAAACGGTGAGTTGTGGTCCGTGCGGCGGCGAGTTAGGCACCATGTTGTTATATATTGTCAATGGCCGCATGTGTGCTGTAGCTGCAGGTGCAGACTTGTTCTTGCTGCCAGTGCATGCAGCTAGGGCCTGCATACCTCCCAAAGTGACGCGTCATCGACCGACCAATCGGAGCGCTCGCAGCTCAGGCACTAAAGCTGATAAATATAAAGCTAAACCCTAACCCTAACCCTTACCAGTAACCATCCACTCACGATAGCCAGCTTAAATAATGCAACCACAAAACATCGCATCAGCTTTAGTGCCTGAGCTGCGAGCGCTCCGATTGGTCGGTCGACGACGCGTCCCTTTGGAAGGAGCTGCGAGCGCTCCGATTGGTCGGTCGACGACGCGTCACTTTGGGAGGAGCTGCGAGTGCTCCGATTGGTCGGTCACTTTGGGAGGTATGCAGGCACTAGCTGCGAGTAATTGCTCCGACCTGTGAGTGGAGGATAAAAATAGAATTTGTGACGTTTCGTTTTACCGGCCATAGCCGCACGTGTATGAGCGATACCTCGCGTGCATATTTGCTAATTTATTAGACTAATCGTGCTTCAATAGACTCAAAATTCACAGAGATTAAGGCTAAGACATGTGTCTATAATTAATAAAGAATTTAACTAGAATTTATAGAAATGTAACTCAAATCGTTCGCGCCATATGATAGTTAGTACACGTTCCTACCCATAGGCACCTGGAGCGTTTCAATAAAATATAATGCTAAATAAATACGAAATCTATTTACTACCAAAGGCTTAATGTTTCTATACTCTCTTTCACCTATTGTTGCCGACAATTTCCTGTAAATGCCGTCCAACTGCTCATCTGCAACAAACCCTGGCTGCCGCTGCACACTGACACATAAATATATAGCAGGTAGGAAAGCGTGCTGCCAAAATTCGCTCGACGCTCGCTTGATTTCACACGAATACAACACAAATATTCAACCATTCTACTCCATCTTTGTTTCTATTTGAAGAACAGTGTTCACTTATTATAAAAACATACTGTCTGTGTTCGTAACCGAGCTGTGTCACGCGAAATCACACAAAGCTTGACGAAATTCTCGCGTTCGCTCCCGTTGCGCAGTTTATGTAAATGGCTGTCAGAATCAGGAAACACACACCGGCGCTCTTCGTGACCTCATTTTTGCGCCGCAATGCCAAACTCCATGACAGATGGCGCTCTCGCTCATGGGCTCAATCTACCACTGCCACAAGCAGATTTCCGTTACAATTTGTAATGCTTTTTTACTACACGTTTTACAGCAGCCACGTTACTCGTATCCTATGTAATAAGATTTGGACTAATAAAAGTTGCAAAGATATTAAAAATCCAACCATTATTTTATGAACATTTTGATAAAATAGTGATACGAAATAGTATGCGGATTGTGCGCCCAGTTACCTCTTTCAAATCATACGCTGTTTACGAATCTCTATTCGCTGGATTTCCCCCAGAGCTCCGCCCACTTTAAAAATAGTGCTAGCATTGCAAACTGCATGCAGTGCACCTTCGTACACTCAGGATAGATTGAGCCCATGAGCGAGAGCGCCACCTGTCGTGGAGTTTGCTAGCATTGTGGCAGTGGTATCCTGAGTGTACGAAGGGCGCTGCATGCAGTTTGCTGCAACGCTCCACTGGCGGCTTTGACGAGGCTCGTACGGGAGTTGGAAAGCAGCGTGGTAGTTTCCCAAAATGCAGTGCGCCGCCTATAGCCCTGTAGTTGCAGCCATTTACATAAACTGTGCAATGGGAGCGAACGCGAGAATTTCGACAGGCTTTGTGTGATTTCGCGTGACACAGCTCAGTTACGAACACAGACAGTATGTTTTTATAACAAGTGAACACTGTTCTTCAAATAGAAACAAAGATGGAGTAGAATGGTTGAATATTTGTGTTGTATTCGTGTGAAATCAAGCGAGCGTCGAGCGAATTTTGGCAGCACGCTTTCCTACCTGCTATATATTTATGTGTCAGTGTGCAGCGGCAGCCATGGTGGCAGCCAGCGTTTGTTACAGTTTACAGATGAGCATTTGGATGGCATTTGCAGGAAATTGTCGGCTATAATAGGTGAAAGAGAGTATAGAAACATTAAGACTTTGGTAGTAAATAGATTTCATATTTATTTAGCATTATATTTGATTGAAACGCTCCAAGTGCCTATGTTCCTACCGGCCATATAGCCGTGCGTATATTATTAGCCTATGAGTGATACCGCGCGTGCATATTTGCTAATTAATTCGACTAATTGCACTTCAATAGACTCAAAATTCACAGAGATTAATGTTAAGACATGTGTCTATAATACTAGCTAGAATTTATAGAAATGTAACTCAAATTGTTCGCTCCATATGATAGTCAGTACACGTTCCTACCGGTCATAACATAATAGCGTATGCGGCGAGAGTGGGCGGGGTCTATTTTTATCCTCCAATCACAGGTCGGAGCAATTCCTCTGTTTAGACGCATGTGAAAATAGAATGAGAAATTGACTAGCTATATCAATGCGTTTTCTGCACGCCACGATTTACCGTCAATTTCTCTATGATCACACCCACAATTACACATTTATATATTTCTTATCATGACTCAAGTATGTATGCACAGTTTAGAATGACGCGATTGTTTATCTGCAGCTTCAGAAAGCTTTTGAAGAAGGAAAGCTACAGGCAGGTCTCAACTATGCTACGCCAGTGCCAAAGACGTGCATTAATAACAAGGTATAGGCTATAGCATTGCTAGTGGTTTGAACAATGTTACAGTGAGCGGGATAGTTTGTTACGGGGAGTGTGGCGAGTTTATAGAATAATGAGCAGAAGTTAACTGTTATTATGTACGCAAATATCCCTACACTGCGTCACACATGTAATGTGTGCGAGGTGGAAAATCTTGTCATGGTTTTGCTATGCACGCACCTTAATTTTACATCTGCTGCAATAAAGGACGGGATGAAGGCTAAACTCACAGAGCTGAAGATTGATTTGAAGTGGGTGGAGAGGATGGACTCGGTAAACGACCCGGCACCGTTAGCTCCAGAGCTGGAAGCCGAGGGAATAGTTGCAGAGGATGAGATCAGTGCCGAGGACGAATTCAACCGTGAGCTCAGATTGTAAGTACCGGCTGAACCTGAACACTCGTCTCATAACTCGGCTTTGTCGTTACTTGTAACGTGTAAGGTCACACGTCTTTATGCTGGCCTCAATTTCAGGGCTCCACTCCTAAGTCCATTGTCTATTGTTCTTGTTATTTTTCATTTCCTCCTCGTTTCCGAGGGCGCGAACAGTTTAAAGGCTTCTCACTGAGAGTACTAAATTTGCTCTCTGGTGTTAACACAAGTGTTGTGAATGTACTAGCTCTCCATTTGTCTCATGCCCAGAATATTCTTGGGGATTATACCACTGTAGAAGGCTGAGTACTCCTACGCTGTCATCATTTAATTTATCTGGGCTTTCTTTATATATCTTTATCTTTTACTGTTTAATTGTGCCGTCAGTCGTGCACTTGCCATCGACTGAAGTTGTTCTGATCTCTCGAGCGATGGCGTGTCACAGTTACAGGCAGGCTCAGGCGGCCGTGCTGGAGGGCGTTCCCAAGTTACAGAAGCTCAGTGTGCCGACGAGACGACCCGACGATTATTTCGCGCAGATGGTGAAGTCGGAGGACCACATGAAGAAGGTACATAGCTGCTTCAATGGGGATTAAAGCTGCAAGGCCTAAGATAAAATATTGCTTGTTTCCCCTTTACCGACTGACTCGCCAAAACGCCGCTACTCGACACATTTTATTGGCCGATTAAAACAAAACAAAAATTATTTCGTTTCGCCAACAAAAAAAATCAAATTCGTTCCGCAAAAACATATACACAAAAGAGAATATACAATATACATACACATATCTTGTCAAAACAAAATAAAAAAGATTTTTCACCTACCTACCTACTCGGTACCCTGAGAGGCGAGTAGGTAAAGGGGAAACAAACAATTTTTTAAGGGTGGCCCAATAGTCCTTGCGATTTTATTGTTGCAGCCATCTCTACACGCTTACACACAGCTGATTATAGATCGAGTATCGTGTGGAACTAGTATAACGATTTGTAGTTTTCTGAGTCCCAAAGGTTTGGTTTTTCCAACACATGAACTTCTAAACCCGACGTCTGTCTTCACACGGTCAAATACTTCCAGATAAGACAGAAACTACTGAGTAAGAAGGTGAAAATGGAGATGTCTGAGAAGGCCAAGAAACTCAGAGAGCTGAGGAAATTTGGCAAAAAGGTGAGCCCCCGGCATGGGCCGGTAAATTAATTAAATAATTAAAATAAATAATAAAAAATAATAAAAAATAAATATATAAAAACAATTAATTAAATAATTAAATAAAAATGAATTATATATTAAATAATTATTAATCGTAAGTGAATAGGATATTAAATAAGAGGGAAATCTATCGTGTGCCAGGTTCAAGTGGAGGTGCAGCAGAGGAGACAGAAGGAGAAAAAACAGATGCTAGAGTCGGTGAAGAAATATCGCAAGGGCACCACCGACAACCTCGACTTCCTCAACGGTGACGTGAAGGGTGACAACAAGGCTACCGCATCACAGCAGCAGGGACGTGAAAATGCACGCACGAACTCACGCAGGCACGCAGGCACGAACGCAGGCACGAACACGCACGCACGAACACACGCAGGCACACCAGCCCGCATGTACGCACGCACGCAGGCACGAACACACGCACGGACGCACGCACGCACGAACACACGCAGGAACGCCAGCCCGCATGCACGCACGCAGGCACAAACACGCACACACAAACACACGCACGCACGCATGTACGCACGCAGGAATGAACACGCTCACAAACACGCACACGCAGGCACGCACGCACGCACACGCACGCGCGAACACGCACGCACGCACGCACAAACACACACACGCACGCATGTACGCACGCAGGAATGAACACACTCACAAACACGCACACGCAGGGCACGCACACGCAGGCACGCACGCACGCATACACGAACACGCACGCGCAAACAGTTCAACATGCACGCACGCACGCACGCACGCACGCAGGAATGAACACGCTCACGCACACGCACACGCAGGCACGCACGCACGCGCGAACACGCACGCACGCATGTACGTATGCAGGAATGAACACACTCACAAACACGCACGCAGGCACGCACACCAACACGCATTCACACACACACATACACACCTACGCACTGGAGTCGACAACTATGTACCGATGAACGAATGGGCAAGCAGGCGGGCGCATGTTGTCTGCATGAAAAACTTCCACCCTCATTGGCCCAGCAGGCTTGTAATGTATAATTCACTGGCCCACACTAGGTTTTACAGGCCCAAATCAATGATCATCATATTATGAAAAGAGAAACCGAACCGGACCGGAAACCGGAAGTTGTTGCGACTTCTAGCGGCGGCAAACAGGCATGGTGTTGACTAGTTACTTCCCCTACTTAAGATCGGGAATATGATGCCCTATCGCTAAATATCGGTAAATTTTCGTACAAAATATCGGGAATTTTAGTAAATTCTCAGACTGATCATCACATAAAGAAGCTGAAATATCATTAATATACCATTTACTCCATTTTTTTCCACTGGCCCATCGGGCTTGTTCATTTGCCAGTTTCATTGGCCTCACAGAAAATTTACTGGCCTCGGATACCGGGCCAGTGGTTAATTTCG